GACCTAGCCTGATAGGAGTAGCGTGATCTCGTTCTCAGGGTACACCGGATGAGCTAAGCGTACAGGTACCAACATAACCCAAGTTGCCAAGGAACTGTCCCGCACGGTGCTCTAGTTTGGGCCAACACTCATGTGGAGCACTGGCTCGGGGGGTTGATTAAGTCCACGGGGTCCGGAAAGTCCCTATGCAAGTTTTAGTTGTTATTAGGCAAATGGTAAAACCAAGGTTGGGCCTTGCTGAGGAGTTTTATTCAAAGAGAACTATCAAGAGGGGCCCATAAACCCTCATCGTGTTAGGGACGCAAAATCAAGGAACATAACACTGGTATGACAGAAACTAAGGTGGCAAGAGTGGAACAAAACACCAAGCAAAAGGCCTAGCCTTCCACCCTTTACCAAGTATATAGATGCATTAATTAAATAATGGATATTGTGATATCCCAACATATCCATGTTCCAACATGGAACAACCTGCAAGGCACGTGCAACTGGCAACGCTATAAGAGGGGCTAAGCAAAAGCGGTAACTCAGCCAAACAACGGTTTGCTAGGAAGGTGGGTTAGAGGCTTGACATGGCAATATGGGAGGCATGATAAACAAGTGGTAGGTAGCGCGACATAGCAATAGAACGAATAACTAGCAAGCAAAGATAGAAGTGATATCGAGGGTAATGATCATCTTGCCTGCAAAGTTCTCAGAGTTGTCGAAAGCTTGCTCCTCGTTAGGGTACTCAACAGGTTCCTCATTCACAAACTCGTCTCCCGGCTCTACCCACAGCAAGAACACAAGCAACGGAACGACAATCAATCACGGTGCAATGCACAAGCAACATGATGAAAGACATGGCATGGAATGCAAGATATGACGTGCAATGCATATGGGTACTCTGGAAGGGAAAGGATGATCAAGGCATCAACTTGGCAAACCAAGTATGCCGCTAGAAAGATGGGGTGATTATGGTCGAAATCGATATAAGGATCACCAGAAACGGATGCACGGTTTGCAAATGACAAGCAAAACAAGAATGATGCAAATCTGCGATTAACAGCATCATAGCACTTAAGATGCAACAAGAAACTATGCTACATCACTCCAACATAGCAACAAAGCACATGGCATTAAAGTACAAGTGAAGTTCTACAAATCATGAACACTAAGCTCCTGCTAGAACTCACTAGAACAAGCTCAAAATAGCATGGCAATAATTCAAATGATAACAGATTCACAGACTTAGAGGAAATACTAAACATGTCAAAACAACATCAGGTAGCAATGTTTAGAGGTAGCAAACAACATGCTACAGGAACATATCATGGCAAACAAAGGAATGGCATTCTAGTACTAAAGGCATAGAACAAAACTCCCTTACTATACTTTAAGCAAAGATGCATGGAAAATATGGTAGCACCCATGCAAACATGGCAAAAGATATGATCAGTTTCAGACTTGGAAGAAAAACAAAGCATGGCAGAAACTGATTCATGATAGCAACTATGGAAGCTCATGCCACTCACCACAATGCATCTCATAGCATATCAAGGTAACCAACAGTAAGTAGACATGTTCAAGAAGCTAAGAGTGGCAAGAGAAAGTTTATGGGGTACATGGATCATTAGCAAAACACATGGCAAAACTGAATCTCATGTCAACAATCTGCCAGGAACAATATTTAGCAAAATAGAGCACGGTAATTACAAGCTAGAGTACTCCATAATTGCAACCAGAGGCATATGTGGATAGACCAACATCATATCTTCAAAACACGCTTACTGAACTATCTCAAAATATGCATAGATCTACTGGTAGCAACAAGTTTACATAGCATCAAAATGTAACAGGAAAGGACTTAGCAAAATTATTAAATGTCTAAAAACAGCAATATCATGAAGCCTACTTTGCATGCTTGTACTAGTCACCACAGAGCTCATAAAAATACGAGGCTTTCACCACTGTAAAGACGGCATGATGGAGCACCTAAAACATGTAGACATCATGCTCATAGGATGCACACACAAAATGCAATGAAAATGACAAATCAGCAAGTTCTGTTAAATTCCAGCAGACAACATCATATAGCAGTTTTGCAACGGGGATTAGGGAATCAATATGGAGAGTAACATGCATGCAAATGACACTAACATGAAGAGCATCACGAGACGAACATTTTGATATATCATGCATGCAAAACGGAGTTATGAGCATGGAGATATAGCATAATGAACAGGGGCACATGATGTGACAAATTTCAGGACAGCAAGAATCTCACCCTCCGGATCTAGGGTTTCCGAGCACGCGAACCGAGGTGAGGCGGGTCTCGCCGGAGAGAGGGGAATGGCAGCCGGAGTGGTCGGAGCAGCGGATCCGGTCGGATCTCGCCAGATCCGGCGCCGGCGGAGGCGGGGGGGGCGAGGCCTGTCGGCGAGGTCGGCGGCGTGGGGCGGTGAAGGCGGTAGCGCGAGGCGCGTTGACCCGGGCGGCGGGGAGCCTCGAGCGAGGCGCGCGGGCTGCGCGGACGCGATGGGCCGGACGGGCCCGCTGCGGGCTCGCCGGGCCGCGAGGGCGACGGGCGACGGTTGGCAAGGTGGCGTGCTCTGATTGGCGCGGGGCAGCGGTGCGGTGTTGTCTAGTGGAGTTGGACAGGTCCGGCGGCGCATGAGGGAGGAGCTAGGGTTTTTATCCAAGATTTGGAAAGGAGGATGCATATTTATAGGTAGGGGAGCTAGGACTGTCCAAATGAGGTGCGGTTTTTGCCCATACGATCGTGATCCAATGACGGAGAGTATGGAGGGGGTTTAGATGGGCTAGTGGGCTGTTTTGGAGGGGTGTTGGGCTGCAACAAGAGAGGGGCTTTTGCGGTTACCCGGTTAACCGTTGGGGCATCAAACGACCTCCAAATGGAACGAAATTTGATAGGCGGCCTACTGGTGATGTACCAATGTCACTCGACAAATCTCGGCCGATTCCGAGAACGTTTTTCTCTCGCTCACGAAACGAGATTAGAAAGGTGCAACGGGTGCATGTGGGAGTGTCGGATCGCAAAACGGACAACGGGGAAAATGATCGGACGCATGAGACGAACACGAATGCAAATGAGATGCACATGATGGCATAATGTGAAAAGCATGACATGAACAAAATGCAAAATAAAGACAAGAACCCAACCACGAAGGAAATATCATATCACATAGCCGAAAATGGCAAGAGTTAGAGTTACAAATATGGAAAGTTACATCCGGAGCGTTACACTGTATCCGTGGAGGGAGAATGACAACCGACAACAAAGAAACTTAAGGCAACCGACAACAAAGAAGCTTAATCCTTGTCTGTCGGAGGCGGCGGCGTTCACGGATAGGATCTTGCTGGGGCTACCTTGGCCGATCGCCGGAGGGCTGGCTAGCTGGGTTGTAGGGCGCCGTCCAGTGGTGCGTGGGTGGGGTCGAGGGCGTCGCCTACTGTACCAGGATACATACGGAGAAGTAATATAGATATTAAGAGATGGACCGATGGGCTTCCTTTTTACACCAGTTCATCGGTAATGGAAGACGGAACATGCTCGTCTCAATTAATTATAGGAGTTTGATCACATGATTCCTGGAAAATATGTTGAGGTGGCACTAAACGATGAGGTGGCACGATGATGATGTGGACAATGTGCGTGTTAAGAGAATTGATAGTAGTGGGATCAACTTCTTAAGAATGTTAGATAAGATTTATGGTAGTGGAATAGACGAAAGGCGGTGCAGGTGGGCCCACACGCCCAAGGGGCACGACAGATGGCCATGTGGGTCCCTTGTGGCTCCTCTCGATCTCTGTCGAAGCTTCCTGGGTCCTTCGTTGCCCGGAAAAAATCATATTAAATCGGCAAGTTATTTTAACCTCTTTAGATGTTGATTTCTTATAAAAACTAAAAAACATGCAAAAGAACAGGAACTGGCATTGAGCACTAAATTAATTGGTTAATCCAAAAAATAATGTAAGATTGTATAAAAAGTATATAAAAGTGAGAACATAATAGCATGCAACAATAACAAATTATAGATACGTTTGAGACATATCACACATTAGTAATTTCTTTGGACTATGGGTCCGTAGTAGTAGGTAGATGGTTCTCTCTCTTGCTTCTCAATACAAAGATCAAATGAACTGCTCTGCAAGATTGTGATCCGTTTGGTGTAATTCATCAGTTGTCACTTTATGATCAGATTTATTCATGAATTTTTTTGAGATCTATTTGGTTCTATTGTTACACAATTCTTAGTCATATATGCTTTCCGATCTATTCTCTGTTTTTTGTGGACAGGTAAGAGGTTTGATCTTCAGAGAGAATTGTGTATGATAGTTGGCTCAACCATGCAAGTAAGCATCAGTGACAGATAGCAAAAAACACTTGTATTTGTGTTGTTGCCGCTAGGAATAAAAATATGGTTGTGTAGTAACGCAGGGTGAAGACAATATATCAAAGTAGGATACAACGACCCAATCCTTGCTCATTTACCACCGTATCCAGATCAATATACGACGCGCCACCAAAGGGGCAACACACAGACTTTGCTCATTTAACATCACACCAGGGTTCCAATATGGCACGTCCATAAGAGGGTTAAGTTTGCCTAAAAAAAAGAGGGTTACACCCCAACGATGTTCTTTCAGTTTCAACAGTAAAGCACCCACATATCGCAAAAAAAAAAGTAAAGCACCCACATAGATAAAACATATGTCCAGAGTAATGGCACATTTAGGACTCATACAGATTTATAAAACCTACCAAACATGAATAAAAAAACATAAGACAAAAACTGTTGTAGTGCACTAGGCTAATAGTAAATATATCTGATTAGGCATCGACATAGACATCAACATCCTCGATGCTTCACCAGGAAAACACTACCAAGATATGCCCAATCCAGATTGATGTTCTTATTAAAATTTTGTTTTTATCATACATTCCTGTTGGCTAATCCAACAGGGAGATCTTTTTATGAAGCTTCAAGAAGGCTGACTCATCTCTCTTGCATCATTGACCAGGGGAGTGCAACACCAGGCAAAGTTCTCAGAGCGGGTACACGTTTTGCGATCAAGAAGGCCTCGTTGAGACGTGCTGCGTGGTCTGCAAACTGGGAGGCCCTCTGTATTGTTCACACACAAAAAAACACAAGGTTAGAGGCTGATGCTTGTAACCCGAAAGTAATGATATGATGTCATTACAAATGATAGCCGTCAACAGCTGAAAAGTGGAAACTTATGACATCCCACATTGACATGTGGTCAAGAAAGGCAGCACGTGGCTCAAGCACGCCAAGACAGGCCATGCCACTGTTTTAATGGGATAATTTGACACATGCCTGACCTGACATGGAATTCAGATTAATTACAATAACGATGTCTAATATTTCCAGTCCTGACTTTGCATGAAATCCCTAGGACCAAAGACACTCCTAATTCAGTCTCATGTAATTAGTTGGCCATGGTTAGGTACAGTATCAAATTTACCTAATCAGCCAACTGTTATGTACTCCCTCAGTTCACAAATAGTATAAGATGTTTCGGATATTTCAATATGGACTACATACGGACTGAAATGAGTAACACACTGAAACGTGTCTATATACATCCGATTCAGAAAAAAGTTAGAACATCTTATATTTGTGAACAAAGGGTTCACGCCATCATCTGCCTTTACTAGAGGGGAAACAGAGCCATGATGTGCTGTGGTAATAATTATGATCATGGTCTGCATTATCCAAGATGGAGTTAATCATGAGAATCTGGGAATGATTCTGTCAGTTTGAATAGTTTGATACCGGTGTGTAAAACATTCACTAAGATCCAGTTGAATTATATAAAGGCTGCCACTGGGAACCAAGTCGTAATTATTGGGTGTGGCTTGATGCGGCAGTTTACATTCACCAATAATTTGAGAATGATGAAATTACAAAGTCCCATTATTCTACTACATTGCTGAGAGATATCTAAAATGAGAAAAGACAACTCTCTTAAGTACAACGTTTGAAGTATTTGTTTCAAGGAGGAACAAAGACGATATAAGCATGAAAGGGGATATTTTTCTGTCATTATTACAGATAAACAGCCACTTTCCAAGGTTGGGGTTCAAGAACAGTATTTGCTTCTTGTGTTTACACACTGGTGACCTTAAATTGAATCAGCAAGCAGGTTCTATCTACAGCAAACAAGTGGTAAACACTAACATACTACCTAGAATCAAAACATCTCCATAATAAATACATGAGAAATAAAGAAAGGATCACAAAAATAGTGGCAAACTCTACCAGACAATACATGATGGTGTGATTTTTACAGAAAATAAACTATGCTGTCTGAATTTGAATAGTGATGTTTCTTCTGGTCAGTGCGGCATGGCTACATGAGAATTTCCTAGGCAGGAACTCACCTTAAGAACATCTTATATTTGTGAACAGAGGGAGTATTACCTGGTACAACTCAACTATAGACTGTTGTATGGAATTACGCATTTCAATCAGATGAACAAACAGGTACCAGCTCTAATTTCATTCTTCAGGATTTGACCACTAGTAGTTTGTGAAGCAAAATTATGAAAGCATAAATCAACCCACAGAACAGTATAACAGATTAACAGTTAGTGATATGATTACCTTATCATCAAATGCGATCTTAATCTGGGGAAGGCCCTGGGTCTTGCGCCTCATCCTATACATCCTCCTCCCGAGCACAACTATCCCCAGCAACGCTGCAGCGATGGAAATCGGCCAAACCGGACTCACTTTCCAAGCACAATAATGGATGAACCTGAACGGCAGCCTCCGCCATACAACCACTTGCCTCTCTCCATCACCGGTGACCGGAGCTGCAGCTGCAACCAGAGGGGAAGAACCATCCTTGTCATCGCCACCAGGTTCAGCACAGCCAGAAGCGGCACTAGCATCCTTCCCTTGCTCCAGCTCTTCCTGCAGAGTCTGCATTGCATCGCTTGTTGCAGCAGCTTGAAGAACAGAGCTTTCGCAAATGGCATCAGCCCCTCCATCTTCCAATTGCAAACTAGAATTCTCTGATATTTCTATCTGGAGTCCTACACCGGCGACGGCAGTTGCATCGGAGTCCAAAATTCCCTCCAACCCTTGAAGCGCGGCTTGCGGAATCGAATCAAACTCACCGCAACTTAACCCCGCAGTTTGCTTCTCATGTGCGCCCCCACCACATGCCACGGAGGCTCCAAAAGCCCGCGAGGCTTGTGCAGTCACATCAATCCCGCCAAATTGCAACTGTGCGCTGGAATCCACCACCCCAATAAGATCCGTCTGCTCTTGCATAGCAGAACCAAATCTGTCCACTGATCCTAACCCGGATTCAATTTCCACGTCGTCGGAGGCAGCCTCCGACCACGTGCCCTCGCCGGAGAAGCCAGTGGAGGAAGAGGAGTCGAGGGCGAAGTGGTCGGGGAGGACGTCGCCGCCTTCCCCGGACACAAGGACGGCCTCATCGCCTCCGACCCCCGAGGATGCAGATAGCACCTCCCAGTCGCTGAAATCCGAGGCCCCGTCCTCCATGGCGCGGTGGCTATGGCGCTCTGCCTACCGGGGTTGAGACCCTTGAGGGGAAACACTTTGAGACACCGGGTTGCGTCCGGGTGTTTTGCGGGCGCCCCTTGGAGAGAAGGGGGTGTAGCAAACACGGGCATGGGCAGCCCGGCCCGACGACCCAGGCCGGGCCGGGTCGGGCTTGATATTCGGGCCGGGTTCAGACTTTGATTTGCAGCCCGAAAGATAGTTTGGGCTGGGTTCGGGCTTCTATTTTTCTGAATTTTGGGCTGGGCTTTCGGATTTCGGACCGGGCTTGCACGTGCGCGTACTAAAAACAGCATTCGGACCGAGCTTTCGGGCTTCGGGCTGGGCTCGAGCTTGAGAAATGAAGGTTGGGCTTTTGCAAGCCCGGCCCGAAACCCGGCCTGGCCCGATGTTTGCCCAGGTTTAGCGTGTAGAGAGGAAGAAAAAGGCGAAGATGGCGAATAACCAATTGCGCGCACAATTTCTATCGCAACCACAAATCAGTCATGCACGGCAAATCAGTCGGTCCACGCCGGAAGAATATTTGCTGCTCCTTAGGACCCGTACAATGGTGCTATCTTAAAGGTGCCACATATGATAATTGGTGAGGTGAAAGAAAGAGAAACCATAAAAAAGGTTTTGCCTTCTCTTAATTAAGAGATGATCTTTTAGCAACAATTTTCTCACCACATATTTAGGGATATCTAGTTGTTGGAGACAAGACTAAGAATAACCCATTGTATATCACTTTTTATTGTCTTATCTAGATTATGTGCCCGGCATAAGATAAGACAACCTTATCAACCATTGTATATGGTGGTGCTATCTTAAGAGTGCCACGTAGGATCAATAATGAAGTGAGGAGAGAGAGCTCATAAGAAAAAGACTTGTCTTCTCTTAGCACAATATGTCTCACCACCTTTCTAGGAATTGCTATTTATTAAAGATAAGGCTAAGAGATGACCCATTGTAGACTCTCTCTTTTCTGCATATTTAAATTATATGCAAAACTTAAGATAAGACTATCTTATAAATCATTGTACATGCCCTTATGTGCTCCGATGCGACCTCATACGTTGGATTGTGATCCAATGGGCAGCATCATGGGGATGTGGACCAAAGCATCAATTCCGGAATGTTTTGGGCGTTTTCTATAAAACATTGATGCTGGATTTGTCTTTTTTATTTCTCAATGTGTATTTCAAGTTTTGATTTGAAATTTTTAGGGATTATACACTCATGTGATGCGAACATCCACAATTGTTTATGTGCATTTTCAAAATTTGGAGAATATGAGCACCAAAATGGATGGGGGCGCCAGATATCCTCCCAGTCCACATCCTCATTCTCTCGCTTCTCTCTTTAACAAATTTATATACCATACAAAAACTTAAATCATTTATATCTTTTAAACTAATATTCCAATTTTAATATATTTTCTATATTTTGAACTCTTGTTGCAAAGACCATTTGAACAAGTTCAATCATGTGTATATTTTGACTAGTTTGATTTTTTTTCAATCGGGTTTTTGAACTTGGCGTAATATGTTTTTTGAAACAAGTGAAATCGGTTTTAAAAATAAGTGAAATTACTTTTTAAAATAGAGTGAAATTAGTGTTTGGAAATGAGTGAAATAAGTTTTTTTGAAATGAGTGAAGTATGTTTTGGGACGAGTGAAATCAGTTTGACAAATGAGTGGAATTTATTTTTGATTTGATAGAAATTATTATTTTGAAATGACCAAAATCAATTTTTGAAATCAGTAAAATCAGTTTTTGAAACGAGCAAAATATGTTTTCCGAAATGAGTGAAATAAGTTTTGAATTGAGTGAAATCAATGTTCTCAAAATACTAATTTCCGAGCCTACATGCAAAGGCCAGTGTGGCATGCGGACAGATCGGCGTTGCCGCCCCGTTCCATCGACAATGGGCCCAACGGTGAACCAACTGTCATACGCGCCCACCATTGCAATTGACATGACAAGTTATGGATCCCATTGAAGAGAAAATGGTTCGCAACAACGATCGAACTCTTCTCAGAGAAAAAGAGCTTTGGTCAAACGCTCTGCCCTGGTTGATGCGGTGAAGCAGTGGGGTCCGAGATGTAAGGAAAATGTGAAATTTGACAACAAACTGACGGATACGGTGCAGTGTGGCATGCACCTACTTTCTTCGCAAGCCTTAGAGGCACAAATCAAAATACGCAAGTTTGAATGGCAGAACTCAAATATGCATCTTCGGTAGTGGCACGAACCGACATTTCCCTTTCTTTAAAGCCTATTTAAGTCAATTTTTATTCTTTACATGTCATTTTTTATTCGTTACATGTCTAAGGTGCATTTGTTTCTGTTGTATGAGTTACGTCTCGGTTGAAAGGCCTTTGTTCTAGGTAGGCCATTTCTAAGAACAATAAAAGCTAGCATCAATGAACTATAAAATCCATGCTATTTTATTACAAAAACCTTGGTGACGGAACATGAAACATCGCCTAAGATCATTTTCTTTGATGGACG